TGCCCCTTCCTTCCTTCCTTCCGTCCTTCCTTCCTCCCTCCCTCCCTCCCATTTTTTTTTAAGTTTCTAGTCAACTGAAATTCAAATCCTGCAGATTTCTTAGCAATTTTTTTAGAAACTGTGTGCCATAGACTTCTTCCTAGGACTGAGAAAGAATTACCCACCTGGTTTTGTGCCTAAGCTGCAACTAGATTTTGCAGTTTCCTGGTTTCTAGCCCAGTGCCTTTAACCAGTACACTAACCTGGATCTCTGTATGGACTATAACAAGTGCAAAATCAATCAATCAGTCAACCAACCAACCAACCAATCAACACAGATCTATTTAACTTTTTTTTTTTTAAGTGTGGAATCAAGCTATGATTTGTCTAGTAAATTTGAAATGATGAGAAAAAAGGAGGATAAGGTAGATTTAAGCACTATACCGTGACCCCCACTTAAACAACAACAACAACAACAACATAGGATTCTGGTTAATATATGTATTTGAAGAGTGAGTTTATCTATAATGGGAAGATGAAGAACATTTTTACTTGACATTGTAAAGCAGACTGACATATTGTCACTTTTCAAATTAATACAAACTTGAAGAAAGATTATCTTTTGCATTTGCAATTCTCTTAATACTCTAAACCAAACCAGTGTTTATTTTTAAAGAATGTTTATACTTAGGAGATGTATAGTGAAAACTAATTGTGTATTTTCTTGTGTGTGTTTGTGAGTGTTTAGTGGATCTATTATTTATTTATTAAATTTATATAGTTACCTATCTCATATATGTGACCATGGGTGGTACACAGAATTAAAATACCAATAACCAAACAATTAAAATAATTAAGGGGAAAAAAACAATTTAAACACAGTTAAAACAGTAAAAAATATAAACTAAAAAAAACAAACAAGAAAGTTCATTTAAAATACATATAGAACTGGCTAGATCTATAAATACATGTCACCTCATTGTGTGCAGGATCTTGAAGTAATCAAAGTATCTTATGATCCAGAGCAATTTTCCCCCACTCTGTCTTCAAGTGCTGGACTCTCCAACAAGTTTAGGGCTTCTCCATGGTCTTTGGAAAGAAACTGAAGATGGGTAATGTTCTCCCTAACGAAATGGCAGGAAACACACTATGCTGGAAAATGCATTCTATCCAGGCCTGGGATGATTGTGAAAAAAATGTGTTTCTCCAGTAACACCAAGAGAGTAGTTTTTTTTTGTTTTGTCTTTGTTTTAATTATGATTTCCATCCTGGTCTGTGTAATGGCCATGGGCAAGTCCTGCAGCAGATCCACAATTAGTAAAATTCCGTTATCAATTCTTTTTAAAAATACAAAATATTTTCATGGAAACCACATAATAAACTATTGTAGACTCTCATGGGGGAAAAAAAATCCTTAGCCTTACCAAATCAAACCAAACACCTCTCTGAATTATTAATTAGTTGACAAATTGTTTACATCCTCAAATTCAACAGAATTATCCCCACATGAACACATTGCTTCATCAGTTTATCAATTTTTTCCCCAATGGCAGCAAACAATATTTTATAAACCAAGAACAGGATGCAAGTTACAAACCATTGAGGATGGATTCTGATATGAGTATTCCAGTATCCTATCTAAATGTACCTAGCTCTTAGGCAACTCTTCAATTATCATTCTTACTTAATTGGATAGGAAATTTCCACAAGGTAAGAACTGCCTCAATATCTAATAGATAACAGATATTGGCATTTTATTCAAGGATTTCTATCTGACCTATACTTTCCTTCCATTATGGAAATGCAAAGGCGTCTATTTTTGAGGTATGGTAACATAAGGGAGGGAACACCAGAATGGGAGGGAAAATGGAATGGTAACCATGACAACATGAGAAAAGTAACACTTATTAATCCGTCTCTCTATTTGTGGACTGGATTGATTCTAGTATGATATACCAGAACAGTTGATTGTTCCCACAGAGCATTTCAGAAGAATATTATGAATGATTTTGGCCTAGGACAGAGGCACTCCATTAGAAATCAAAGAGAAACCAGACTTTCTGTGTCTCTTGAGAGAATTACCATTTTATCAGAAAAACATGTTTCCCACAATCCATTTTAGCCACCTCTTGTGTATTATATGAACTCAATCTATAAGAAGGGATGCATGGAAGCAACTTGCAATGGAGAACAAATGACAGCTTGTGGCTTGCCTACCCCATTCTGGCCAGTTTCAGGTGATACTCCATAAAACAGGTTTAGAGATTATTTAGTGTTGTGTAGGATGGTGATAGAATGTGAAAATTCATCTGTTTCCACCAGGGTCCATAGAACGATTCAGAGTGGGGCTTCAGATTGAACAATGGAAGCTAACTGCAGATAAACCAACTCTTCTGTTATGACAGTGCAGTTGGCTTCCCCGGTTTGGGCAGTATTCTTTCCAACAACTGGGTTGATGCAACATGAGGGCTCAGATAAAACCCATTAACTATCCTGGTTCGTGCATCATGATCGGACAGTGGTTGAGAGGGAAGCAGGTGAGCAGAATTGCATTTGATAATTGTTCAGTGTTGTCCAGTCATAAATGTTGTGAGAACACTCAGGGTCAGTGTTCTGGCAATGAATGAGCTCTGAAGCAAGTTTGCATATAAGTGGCATCTGTTGCCCAGAAGAACAACGTTCACTGCTTTGGTAAAAGGAAA